TATACTAGAAATAATGCCCGTTGCGGAAATAAATACAACGGGATCTAGAAAGAGGCTCTGGGAGAGTGCTCTGGCTTTGGGCAAACAGTGTCAGTTTCCTGTGGCGACCTCAGCAGGGTTTAATGACAGAGTCCACTGTTTTCTCCAGAGGGACTGATCTCTGCTACCTGAAGAGCATTTGTATGTTTGAGTTATCTGTAGCCCTCACCTGGAGAGTGGTAACCATTGTTACCCATTCTCCTCTCCCCTATGAGGTATGTTATGCAACTGAAAATTCCAACTGCCTTGCGGGGGGGGGGGGGGTTTGAGGTGTGGAGTGGACTGAAGTCCAATCAGCTTCCATATGCAAAAGACCAGGTTGTTGCAGCAGTTGTGGTGTGGGCGGGACCCGGGCTTTGCCTTCTGATTGGTGGCGATATATGCTGAGGAGCAGTGCCATCAGCCATACACTAAGGGAGTGCATTTTAGAATTAGAACTTTGGCACCCACTATTCAATTATATATAAGGAGAGAGGAGAGATAATCTTCTCTGTTAGAATTCCTGCAACAAATGTCACATTTCAAATTTTACATCTTCAGTATTATAACTGGATTTATAGAACTTAAATACCGTAGTGAAGCACGAGTAGCAGGCTAGTATCTGATAAAGACATCCCCAGCTAAAACAAAAAAATAAAAAGCAAACCCCAAATCTCAAAGAATGGCTACTAGCCATGATGGATATCTACTCCTTCTAGTACCAGAGACACAGTATGCCTCTTTCTATCAGTTGCTGGGAGTACAGGTGGTAGGGGAGGCTGCTGTTCCTAGAGGCAGCTGGCTGGCCACTGTGTGAACATAATGCTGGACCTGACGGGTGAGATCCAGCTTGGTTCTGGTTATGTTGTGTAATCTCATGTCATGTCACAGTGGCACCTTAAAGAGTAACAAAATTAGTCCAGAATAGACTTCTGAGAGTCAGAGCTCACTTTCTCAGATGCGGATAAAGCTCACTGGGTACCCTGCTGCCACCTGGGGAAGTTAAATATCCGTTCCAGGTCTGGAAGGAATGAAAACCTCTGAGTTAGAAGACAGACATATTAGTAGTATAGATCAATACAGAATTTTATGTCCAAAGAACCAATGCACTTTTATACTGGCCCACTCTCAATGCCATCCTAAGCAGAGTTATGCCCTTCTAAGCCCACTGTGTAATTCTAATAGTAGAAGGCAAATTAAAAAAAAACAGATTTGGATATCAAACCTATAAAGAAAATTAAGCTCAGAATGGTCATGGCATCAATGGACATTTAATAAGAAAAAATATTACTGAATAACTTAAATGGTACAAATCAAGCCTTGATTTTAATCAACTTCTGCAGATTTAACTGAGAAAAAGATACTGCAGCATTAATGCTTACAGTCTGTGACTGAATCCTTGCTACCAACACAATGAGCTAGTTGTTCTAGCATGAGATCTAGTGGCCTTGAAGAACTGGCCAGTGCACTGCAGACGTTTCCTTGTATGGTACACTTTTTGCACCTTTACGCACACAGCTGTGTCCTGCTTGGGCAGGCTTACAACCAGTAACCTTCTTCTAATTTAGTTCAAAGATAGCTTGTTGTGATGTGGAACGAAGTGAAAGTCCAGTGGCACCTTTAAGACCAACAAAGTTTTATTCAAGGTATAAACTTTTATATGCGTGCACACTTCTTCAGATACAGTGTGCAGGCACAGGAAAGCTTATACCTTGAATAAAACTCTGTTGGTCTTAAAAGGTGCTGCTGGACACCACCTTTGTTCTGCTGCTTCAGACCAACATGGCTACCCACTTGGATCTTGTTCTGATGAGTTCTGAGACTGTTGAGCTGGCAACCTGAGAAAGGGCCTTCTCAGTCGTGGCACCAAAATCATCTATCCCACTCAATCCCTGTCTTCCATCAGCAGAGGAACATTTACCTATTTCGTTTGGTATTCCCTCCTTCCGGTTTATGTGTTCCTTATCGATTATGTGTTTTGTTCATTTTTCATTGGTGTTATATCTGAGGAGTTCATCAACCTTGAATAAACCTTTGTTAGTTTTAACGTTGCCACTAGACTCAAAATTTGATCCCCGTTTTAAAAAAGCGACTGTACTATAACTCAGAGGCAGTTAACGGGTGATCTTTGCGGGCCTCCACTATAATCCTCCGCTTCAGATCGCTACCGAGAGAGCCACCGACCTCAAAGTGTTGGGAGAATAAAACGCCCTCCCTCGACGTCCCTTTTCTGTTAACGGTGCAGGCAACCATAGAGCCAACCCCAATCAGCTGATTGGCTCGGAGCTCTTTAAGCCTGCCTTGCTGACGCGCCCCAGCCGCTGCAGGACTCCGGATGGGAGAGGCGCTATGGACGTGCAAGTGGCGCCGCGGAGATCCTGGGACGACTTCATTCCCGGCCACGACCGGTTCGCCGTGCCGGATTTCAAAGACATTTCGAAATGGAACAACCGAGTAGTCAGCAATTTGCTTTATTATCAGACCAATTACCTGATGGTGGCCGCTGTTGTGATCTCCATCGTGGGGTAAGCCTAGAAGGAGTTGGGTGTTGGGGGTGGTGGTGGATGCCTTGTTCACCTGCCCTCCCCGGTTCTGAATGCATCCTTGAAGGCAGCGGGCAGATTTTGGTTGACCATCCGACTCCGTCGCGTGCAAACTAGGCCTTGGGTAAACTGAAGCAGCTTTGTATTTCTCTACGGAAGTGTCATTTGCGAATGTCTTCCCTGCTCCCCAGCATTTCTGTAACTGGTGCTCAAAATAGTGGTGGTTTTTGCATTTTGTTGCTGGCTTTCAAAGGTTTTTGGTGGAGGGGTTTTTAAAGATGGCGAGATGTCGCACGAAAACGCAGCAATCGCAACGGAAACGAAAATGTTGTAGTCGTAAACGGTGCGTTTATACTCAGAAGCACTGGCTGACTTAAGTGTGACTTCCTCCCAGGTTAAGTTTGCTATCCTGGCTGAATAAAGCAGGCGACTTACTTTTATTTTTGCCTCCATGTAGTTTCTTCAGTATGGCTGCCCTGACCGGGTTTACTCTTTTTCCTCTTCCTTTGAATGAGCGTCTTGAAAATGGATTCTGGAGCTAATAATGGATTCTGGGCCTGTCTGTGGCATTTCCTCTGTGTTAGGATCTCATTAGCAGTAAGCTATGAAAATTTTTGTATATGTGCCCATTAATCATAAATATGTGCATATCCTGTTGGCTACTGTATTTGTGTATTAAGTCTCTAATTGTTTAGGAATAGGCCTTTAATTTCCCATCCAAGCCAGCTATTAGGGTTGTCTTGTTTGGGTGTGGCTGTGTAGGTCAAATATTGGCTTTTAGATTCAGATGTTCCTTTTGAACCTAGTTCTGATCTCCTCTGCTTGATCTGTTTAAAATGCTCTATCCTGAAACGCACCCCCATCCCTCACAACCATATAATACATGTCTTGCAAAGAAATTCACAGGTCAGGTCCCTCCCCCCCACACACACAAAAGGTGGGCTAGCGCAAGATTAAATGAAGGCCCAGATGAGGCCTGCCTTTGGTGCCCTCTCCAGTTTGCTCATTTTTAAAATAATGCCTTGCTTCTGTTTGCAGTGGTAGTCTGCATTGTGACTTTGATGCAAATTTATCCCTGTGGTACAAGATAAGGAATACAATAGTCAGTATGTGTTTGATACTAACCTAATGAATTTTGATTATTTTTATAGACTCAGTGATACCAGTCACACAGATGCACGCTTTATTAAATGGGTACTCACATCATATGCTTTCATACAATACTAATTTAAAAACTAATCTTAAAGAAATCCTGGCCATAATCAGCATTGCCAGGTTTGAAAGTCCAGATGAACTATTGGTACTAGTTCCAGGAGAGGATGAATGGAAGGGCCATGGCTCAGTGGTAGAACATGCGCTTGGCATGCAGAAGGTCCTCATTTCGGTTCCCAGCATTTCCAGTTGAAAAAAATCAGGTACCAGGTAACGTCAAAGACCTCTGCTGGAGACCCTGGAGAACTGCTGCCAGTTTGAATTGACAATACTGACCTCAATGGACCAATGGTCTGATTCAATATAAGGCAGCTTCATTTGTCAGTGGGCTGTGATAGGCATAACCTTAAGCACAGTACCTGCCTCAAGCCTGTCCCTGATTGCAGTCTTGACTAATCTAGTGAGTGAGTGTGACAGTTTTTAAGGTCTTCGACTAGCCATTAATGGGGCACATGATCCCATTCTTGAACCTGACTGGAAAGTGCTCAGACTTCAGCTGTGACTTTCTAGATGAGTCATGTTTCTCTGACTGCATCCGTGGCATTTCATCTTTGGAAAATAGTTCTTGCATGTTGGAAGCCCAGCAAATCTCCTTGTGGTGTGTGAGTCCTCCCAACAGTAATGAGTCAGCCTTTCACTCACATGGTGGGTTTTGTTGAAAAGACGTCTAACTGGTGCCTGGAATGACTCAGCCTGCTTTTAACGTGGCGGTACCGTGTCTTCTCAGACTCAACCCCCCATTTCACCATCGTGGGAACCAGAATCTTTGTTCTTCAGTGAAACTGAACTATCTCTGAACATTCCTAAGCTATGAATTTTGTATGTCAGAAAGCTAAACTATCTTTGTTTTCCAAGCCCATTGTCCACAGATTATTGGGGACTCTAAATTCAAGGTAATACTGAATATTCAGTTAATTGCAAAACATGCACTTGGTTTATTTATAAATTGCTGATTTGGCTAATCGGTTTTGTCTTGATTCATAGGCTGTGGGTGGATCAATTCCTTGTCTTTTGCTGTCAGACTCATAGTGAAAGGGTTAAATTTTCACTGCAATGGGGAAATTTGCTCTGAAGCATCACTGTAGAAGTTTGTGGTAGTAAGCACTTAAAATAATGCAGTGATGGAAAATCTTTTGGCCTTTTGATTCAAGAGGAAGCAGAGAGCATTAGAGAAGGCCTGAGAAATTGTGTAGTAAAGATGAGCATATGGTTCAAAGTACCCTCAATCAAAAGGCAACAGAACAAAATAAAGTCCCTAGCTTGGTGTTGTATTAACGGAATAATGACATTGACGTCAATGGTGCCCCGTGTCTCTTTACAGATCTTTGGAATCTTCATTTAATTCAAAGCGAATGAAAGTGAAACAAGACATAGAATGTTCCTTAAACTCTCTGCCAGATTGTCAGAAACAAAAAAGACTCTCTGTAAGAGTGTTTTTAAAAAATTAGTGTCACTTAAAAATGTCCCTACAGGTAAGCACTGTGTTTCTCTGTGGGCAACTATCTAGGATTGGCAGGAAATAACACACATTCTGAAAATTGCCTAATACACCCAAATGAGCAGTGGATTTACTGGATCTTTCCGAACTTAGTCTCAGATTGCTTCTTTTCACCCCAGGCTAGCAGTTTGTCCTGCTAAGATCCACACCAGTTAGTTACAATAGTTTTTTTTCATCAGTGATGAATCTCCTAATTGCACATAACATTGGTGACTTGCTTTAAGCAATTGAACTCTGACTGAATGGTTGAAGACTGGCTCCTAGATCTTCAACAGCTGTTCTAGTGTAATGCCATTTAAATGCCAAATAGAGCATTTTGTGATGTCATGCTAGTGTAGCAGTAACCCATCTGTCTGGAAATGTTTGACATATCATTGTTTCTTTAGCAACCTGAGCCCGATCTCCCTGCAGCACAAATCATAAAACTGTAGCTAGAATGATCAGGATGCTGGTACTGCATGTCCTTCCCATTGCACAAATGAACTTTCAAGAGGCACAGAGAGATATCTGCACATTTGCCATGAAGCATGGTAGATACAAAGTGCCTTGCAGGCCCTATCCTGTTCTTCCATATGACCCTGGAGTTGGCTGTAAGCAACTCTGTCACTGCTTGATGGGTGTGGGCACATTCCTCTCTCTTACTGTCCTGTGTGTGTCTCTCACACACATATGCACATATTCAGTAAACCTCTGCCCAGGAAACAAGCAGAAACAAAGCATTCAAGGCAGAAATGTGTTCAGTGTATCTTGCGCCCTTGTTCTAAACATGCTTGCTTAGGGGAGGATGTTTTACTGCAATAAATGGGATTTACTTAAGGCAAATGTTTAAAATTCAAGTGCTGGTTATCACTAGTCATAAATTATACCAGTAAATCACTCCGAATAATTGGGTGCAGAGGTGTAGAACCATTATTTTAGATCACTGTGTACTGTGTAGAACCATTATTTTAGATCACTGGTCTAATCTTGTTTTAAGTTCTTTATGGATAAAGGTTGCTGATTCAGATCTTATAGTGAGTGCTGTTCTGTGAGATCACACATAAAGCTGTTCCAGTATCGCTGGAGACTGGGTCCTTCTAAGCAGTGCATGCAGTTTACCAGTAAATGAGGAATGGAATGGATATAGTGTAGTGCGAGGAAATGCGCTATGGTGCAGGTGACACATTCTCTTTGTGGCCATACAAATTTGATGCTTCAACACCAGTGCTATTTCTTTGATGAATGCTGACTCAATGGCATCTCCAAGGTTTAGCAGGGAACTGTACCATAATCTAGAGGAAGCGACATGTGGACCTTTGTACAGAAAGATAGGCTAATAATTTTAAATGTATTGAGAATTGAGGTGGCAGATTAAGATTAAGCTCATTTAATGGGAATTATCTACATCAAATAGAGTCAGGGTTAATTCTTACTCAATGAGCATGGGCGTAGACTGCATAATGTATTCTGTATTAATTCAAAATGAAAAACCAATGTTAGGAGTAGCCTGTGTGGCCTGACACTTTGCAAAAACGAACAAGTTCATGGACTCTCATCAATGGACAGTTGTAACTGCCAGTGGAAGCAAATTCACTACAGTGCTGCTTTGTGTAAAAATGATGTGGATATCTGTTGTGCTTACAGTTACATAGATTTCTGTTTGATGCTGCATCTGCAGTTACTGAGTCAGTAGGCACACAAGACTTGGAAGACCTTTTGCACACAAAACTTTGTTTTGATTTTCATTTAAATGGGATGAGGGTACCTTTACTTCGAGTGCAGATTGGCTTTCCCTCAGGGAAGGATGGCCTATGTGTTATATACCCTTTACAGCATTAACACAGATTGGCCAGAAAGGCTGTTAGGCTGGAGATATTTATAGAACACCTCGTGTAATCACAGCATTTCTCAGGTAAAGCTTCTGTTTTTAACATAACACATGTACAAATCGTGTGTGTTAAAATTACTTCCACTTCCCAAAAGTCAACATTGTAGGATCTTTAACTGCAAGTTAAAGTGAACCCTAAGGCTCTGGATAGAGATGCTACAGCAGGTATTATGTTCTTGCTTCTGAAGGTTTTTCCTGTAGTATAAAAAGCAGTTCTGCAAGCAGTTCTCTTTGATACAAATCCCATTTTCATTCTCATTTACATTAACATCTCAAAAATACCCATCAGTCAGATGTGTGAGAAATTCTTATTGTTCTTAGCAACGCTAGTAAATTTCGATTCTACATAATTACCTTTTTATCCTGTACATCTTGCATTTCATGGTTTCTTGCCAACTTTGGGTT